GAGATGGAGATGATTGAGGAGCAGGGGCTGGATTTTTGAGAGATGATTGAGGAGCAGAGGCTGGATTTTTTAGCAGGGCTGTGTTTTTTAGACGAAAACGACGTCGTTTAGTTTGGGACTCCAACTTTTTTTTGGGAGGTAGGACTGATACCCACTTTCCCGATATCATCAATTAGCAACAGTATTATTCGAACGCACGCAAATTAGGTAAAAGTTTACCCTTAATATTTTATTTTAATAAATTTATATGTTTTGACTTTTGACTTTATACTTTTCATATCTTAACTCTTTATTTATTAAAATTAAAAAAAATAACCTAAAATTATAATCAAGTTATAACATCTATGACATGAGCAATAACATTTCCTTATCTCTGTCCTTGTCACTGCTACATAAGTAATTTATGCCAACTAAACATGTTACTGTAACTTCTCAAGGGTAAAGAAATTTAAATAAAAAAGCAATGATAGAATAATTTTTTTATATTATTTTTTTATAAAATTTTTACATATTATTAGATGAATAGATACATTTAATTTCATAAATCTCAAATAAATAAATAAAAATTAATTATTTAAATAATATATAAAGTTGTATAAAAAATAATATAAAAAATTATTCCTAAATTATTTTTTATAAGAAACTAAATGGCTTAGTTGGCCCAAAAACTAAATTTAAAAAGAAACAAATGATGAGATAGATCTTCTTTACTTCTTCCTCCAACCAAAGAATCTAGAGTAAAAACTAAAAGAATCTTTGAAAAGGTTAGGGGAACCACAATAAGAAAGAATGATTTTCACTGCAATCTCTGTTGGTGAACCATATATTCAATAGGTATTGTTTGCTATTGACAATTTTGATTTGTCCTAGAGTTTGGCCTTCTCAATCGATGAATAACAAGAAAAAAACATGAATACTATAAGAATTAATATAGATTAAGTTTAATTAAATAATAATTAAAGATTAATTAATCTGATTTTGTGCTTAATTTCATTGTTAGGCGTTTGGGCTTAGGTGGGTGTCAATGAAATCGAAATAAGAAAGCATAATTGTTTTGTTGTATATTTTAGTGTTTAATTCTTTCTTTCTTTCTTTCTTTTTAACCTCCAGAAAATGTTTTAGTACAAAAACCTCCAGAAATTGTTTTCTGCGGCACATGCAGTGATCTCGAATATATTGACAAAAAGTAGACAGACTTTTGAAATTAGCAAATGTAAAGAAGTAATTCAACCACGTTTATAAAACATGTTCTTAAACTTCGGCATAATTAATATAATAATTTTCCAACATTTGCGTTGACATGTCCGTTGTCCAAAATAACAGGAACAAATTAATTTTAAACAACATAAGTGTAAAGCTTAAATGCCAAATTTGGTTCATGAACGTTCAATTTTGCGTAAATTTCATCTCTCAACTCTTTTTTACACTTCTTTCATCCCTTAATTCTACAAATATATATATATATATATATATATATATATTTGTTTCTTATTAGTTCATTTAAGTTTGTTAATATATATTTTTAACAATTCAAAGACTAAAAATATACATATATTAAAATTTAAGAACTAAAAATATGTATATATATATATGGACAGACTTAACTAATAGAAGGACAAAAAAATGCATTTTTCATAGCTAAAGGATGAAAAAAGCACAAAAAAAGTTTAGGGACCAGATTTGGCATTTGCCCAAGTGCAAACAATGAGAGTAACGTCCCTAAAATAGATCGGACAAAGTAGGAAGCTTGATCTCGCCCTTGGTGGATAGAGGGATTTTCAGGTCCCCGATGATCAGAAGATCGATCGTCAGACCCACCTCCAACTCATAATCTATATCCCAATCCGCTCCAATGTCCCTGGCCAAGCTCACCAGGATGCTGTACGGCACCTTCACCGGCACCTCCAGCATCGTCGTGTCACTCGCCTTCAACGACCCCGGATCCGGCATATTCCCCGACGCAATCGCCCTGTACTTCGCCCAATACATATAATGTAATTACATCGATTCATAAAATTATATATACATACCCAAAAACAGATCTGGAAAAAAGTGAATGTAACCGGCCGGCGCTTTTGAGTTCGTAGGAGACCTCACATATGGGAAGGGGATGGCCGTAGGGGTTGTTGACGGAGACCTTGGCGTTTAACTCGACGCCTTCCCGGCTGAAGTTCTTCATATTGACATCGGTGAGGGTGGCTTCCGGCTTCTTTATGTTGGCCACCTTCTCCGCCGCGAAGTTATTTTACCAGTAGTTTGGCTGCGTTTGACTTGGTAATACGATGTAACTCATCGCGATTTTATAGGAGTGAATGTGGGTTTGTGACACATGTAAAGATCCGTAGAAGGAGATCTATGGTGGCATTGGATTGTTTCAGATTCTTGAGAATTTGATTTTTTTTTTTTTTTAGAATAGCAATTAAGATTATTTAATTTTAATCAATGGCAGATCCATTCAATTAAATATATGTGTTTAAATTAACTGTTTAAATATAATTAATAGCTTATAATTAATATTTAATAGTTATTAGTTAGTATTTATAATTCAAACTACCTAATTTATTTGATTAAATTGAATAGTTAATTAGTTCACAAAATACCAAAATAAACCCCTCTGTAATGTGCAAATTAAAGCAATGACTGAATTTTTGAAGGGGTTTTATAATAATAAATGTCAGAAATGTGGAGTTTGAATCCATCTTTAAATATCATTGTAACGTAATTTAATTATAAACTCAAAGAAAAAGGAAATTAGAGAAAATTGATTTGAAAGCTTACATCCATTGACAACTGCGAAAGGAACTTGAAAGGAAGTCTATGGCCTCCTGTAAGCAGCGTGATGGAAACTTGAGTTGAGGATAATCCATTCTTCTATTCTCTTTTCTTTGTTCTCGTTGATTTTGTGCTTTTGATGTGTGGTGGTTTTAATTGTCTCTAATTTTCATGATATATATATTTCATTGACCAAATACAGTTTTATTAGTAAATTTTTAATTTTTTTTAAGAGAACATGTGGATTAGAATTAAGGAAAAGAACATTAATTAGCATACACTTTAATTCAATACATTGTGTAATATATTTATTAAAAAATTATTATTTTTGATATAAAATTAAAAGTAAAAACACTTAAAAATGCAGTCTTGCATATATGATATAAGAACTAATAAAATTGATTATATTTATATTATATTTTAATAACTAGATTGAAATGAGTGTTCGTAAAATATATTAAACTGAGTATACAAATTATTTTTGTAAAAGAAATGATTTCCTTACATTGGTAATGATATACAAACAATTTATTTGCATTTTTATTCATAATTTTTATAGTATAGATTTCATTAAATAAATTGATATATATATAATTATGAATTTTAATAAAGTGAAAATAGACAATAATTTAATAACATGCAAAATTATTTTAAAAAATAATACAAAAAATTATTCCAAAATCATTTTCTTTAAAGCTTATCAAGAAAAAAATTTATTTTCCTTAAGAGAATTAAAAGTTTGAATCTTCTTAATATGAAAACAAAATTGGTGTTTATCCATCTTATTTTTTAAAAATTA